CGAAGTATTTGTACTTCGTTACTTCCCATCTCTGTATTTAGAAACATTAAACCGAAGCCAAGAGGAACGAGTAACATTTGTTTAAAAATGTAAGGAATAGAAAGTACAGATACTGGTGTGAAAATGAGTAGAAGTCAGAAGTAGGAAGAAAAATAAGTACTGGAGTAAAGTATAGATACCTAAAATGCACAGGCATAACTTTCTGAAGGACCGGTGTGGACATGTCCCTGCCAACTTTGAATGGGTGTGGACATGTCCCCACCAATAATTAGTCAATTTGTGCTGGGATCATTTACTTTAGGCAACAACAGTAACCTCAGGACGCGCCCGGCTGGGTGTTCTGAGAGTTTTCACTCAGCGTTTCTGTCTCGCTATCCCGCTGCTCCTGAGTCCCGCCTACTGATATGACATCATTGGATCCTCTGTCCATGGCTCCATGTCTGTCACTTTATGATAGAACATGATTGGCTGTTGCTATTCACTGCATCATCGGTAGCTACGTGATTGGAGGAGAGACGACACACAGCAGCATCATTAATATTAACCAGCAGCTACTTCAGGTTTGATTTGGAATAAAAAAGTAGTAATAATAAAAAAAGATGCCCCTGAAAAAGTCAAAAAACAAACTGAGCTTTTTCAACAAAAAATGCAACGGAGTGTAAATAGCCTTGAAAATGATTATTGTAATGCAATACGTTTGACCAAAGAAGGTGTTTAAATAGTTTGTTCTTTGCTAGTTAAAAAAAAAACAAAACATCTCAGTTTTTTTTTTGTTACAGTTTCTTTCCGTTTTTATTTATTATTAATGTTGCTGATGTTTCTGAGCCATTACAAAGGAGCCACTTAAAGGAACCAGTCTATCTGTACATTATAATATTTATATTTTGTTACTGTTGCATTCTCAGCAAAATGAGATATAAGATAATAAAGGATATGACAAAGTCCATGCAGCTTTCTTCATCAGCTGGATCCAGTTCTTATCAAGGTTGATTATTGGTAGCAATGTTTTTTGCCACCTCATAAACGTTGTCGCTTAAGAGTGTAAAAAGTTGCTTCCTGATGTTCCATATTAATTCTTTGCGAACCGCCGCCATGGTATATTGTTCCACCACGGTTCAACCCTCCAGTTCCGTTTTATGGCAAATTACACGTTGTCCTCTGGGTCAGCAAAGTGGCTCCACTGCCACTAAAGTATGTTGTCTTCTGGACCGGCGATGTGGCTCCTTGGTGCTCTACACGTGGGACCTCTGGATCAGCAGTGCGGTTTCAGTGGAGGATTCTGGTTCCTTCGCACTTCTTCTTCCACCCTGGACACCCACGGGTTGACTCCTGGTCTTCAGCTGTGCACTGTCACCTTGGTCATGTGGTTCCGATATCTCTGGATCTTCCCCAGTGGCTTCAATGAGGAGGATCCCGGACGAGCCCCCACAGTTTGTTACACGTCTCAACTGGGTTGAAACAATTGCAACAAATGATATTTCCTCTCAGAGTGCAAAGCCTGTGAACAAAGATAGCTTCAGTGAATGAAGGAACAACCGCTGTGTTCTTCCCCAAGCTCTGTATGTTTTATTACAAATTCACCAAATCATGAAATTATACAATAACATTCTTTTATCTTTTCTTCGACAATCATGTCCAAGTGTTTTTTGTTTTTTTTTCTTTGCTCTAAGACAACCAAATACCATTCACTTCCATAAACAACATCCGCTCCCACCAACTGTGGTTTCATAAGCGAGTCAAATCAAAACAATTCAATCATAAATCCAAACCTCACAGATTCAGATAAAAACACCAATTACTCAAGTGTAATGCAATATTAAATGTACTAATGTCCCTTAAATTGTCTTAATACAAAAAACTTAATCATGTTATTGGCTATACGTTCTAATATAGTCATCTTTAAATGACCCAATCCACTGTAAGCTCTCATAAGCGTTGAATTGCTACATGACTGTATAGTAGAATTACACAGGAGGGGGAAAAACACAGTGTCCACGAATATTTGAAACTCTACTGATAACAAACTGCCACATCAGTACCAAATTAACTTAATTTAGTTTTTAAGGGATACAAGTTTCACCAGCTTCACACTACTAACCTCTGAGCAAAGATAGCTTCAGTGAATGAATGAACTACTGCTGTGTTCTTCCCCAAGCTCTGTATGAGGGGGTGAAGGTTTAATAATCCTTTATTTGCTCAAACAGACTGGATGTTCAGACGTTGACTGCAGAGCAAATAAAACACCAGGAAATAATCTGAATGCTGCAGAAAAAAGAATGAAGTATAAACTTTACATTTATTTTAGGTTTAATTTACATCTGAGATCGAGAAAAGAGAAACTGATTCAATCAAACAGAAAAACAGGAAATATTCTCCATTAAACCATCAACCAATCAGCTTCAGCCAATCAGCTGCAGCCAATCAGCTGCAGCCAATCAGCTGCAGCCAATCAGCTGCAGCCAATCAGCTGCACTCGTTCCCTTTGACCAGGAAGAAGGTTCCCATGGCAACGCCAATGAGTCCGATGGTCAGACCGACTCCACAGAACACAGCAGGTCCCAAACTGGGCTGAGGACTGTGGACGTCCACATCTGGAGACAGAGACAGAGACATGAACATCTGGAGGTGGACGTCCATCACCTCCATGTCTGGTTATTGATGAAGGTTCCTCACCCCACAGTGTAGTGACTGGTTCCTTTAGGGCAGGATGTTCCACTGAGCAGCTGTAGACGTCTCCCAGCTGAGGGATGAAGACCAGTCTGGAGATCTGGGTGAAGGTGCTGTCCTTGTTGGGGAAGGGAACATTGATGCTGGTTCCTTCAGTCACCTTCTGGTTGTTCTTGGTCCAGGAGACGTTAACAGGAGCAGGAAAGAAACCAGAGACGTGACAGATCAGGATGTTCTGCTTTCCCAGCTCTACATCATTTCTGGGATAGACCATTGGAGCAGATGGACCATCTGAGGAGAGAAACAGACCTGATCTGAGACCAGCTGAGGAGATTCATCTACCAGAACAGAACCTGATGAAGGTCCAGATGGATCACATGTTCACAGCACGGGATGAAGAGGATCAGGATCATTAAATCTATTAGTCACTGACGACAAACGTAACAATGAAGGACCCAGACAGTCAGACTGGGGCTGTGTTCGATTTTAAAGGCTGCATCATCCATGCAGTCTACCTAGAGTGGATCCTTGGAAGTCCATGAAAAGAAGAGTTTTGGCTGTGAATTCTAACAGGTCTACCCTTCTGCGGCTTTCACCGCCATACGCTCTGTTGCTTAGCAACCGTGATAGTTGACAAACAAAGCAGGAAAAGAATGAAAACTGATGTTTTCAAAACTGTTTATTTATTTATTTTTTATCATAAAGTGAACAAAGGCAGATGAGAATCCAGAGTGGAATA